ATCGTAAGACTTTTAAAGAAGAAATTGACGATAAGGCCATTGAAATCGTAAAAGCGTTCTTGAAACGTAAACGCAATGCACCTGCTCTAGAGGGAGTGTTTCCTAATCTCCGACCGAAGATTAAATTTAAACAGAAAGAAATAGAGCGCAAAATGAGCTCTGCTGATCTTGGCGCTGATAAGAAAGAGGACGTGTAAAAGTTTATTTTGATATTTTGATGGTGATAGCATAGTTGCGACTTGAAATCATCTTTCGAAACACAATTTAATTTTAAATCAGTCGTGGATGAAAGCAATGGTCATAAATTCTATGATACGCATGCACCAAAAATGGCAGGAAAACATACGAAGGCCAACATGAACGAATGAAAAAAAATGAAAGAGTGGATAAAGGTTGTATTAGACACATAAGTTTCTACTTGAACAATATCACTTTGCATCGAGAAACTATCCTATCGAAGTTGCAGGGACCATGCCCTCCCCGATCACCTTGACGTTATGGATGGTATCCTTGAGATGATTGTAGTTCGGTTTTTTTGTGCAGATGACGATCTTTGTGAATCATTTGCTAAGCAGAGCGATGCTATAGAGGACAGTGTTTGATTTCGAGGGACTCGCTACGCACATCCAAAAAGCAGCTCGAAGTACTCGATCTTTGGGTACTTCTTAAGCTTTGACTTTGGAATGAATTGATAGAAGTTGAGCATATTTTCTTCGTTTATATATTCAAGTAATCAAAATGTCTTCTCTTTCATCAACAGCCAATAGTCCAGTCTTCAATAGCTCTTTCTTTTGACGGATCAAATGATTACGTGATCATCTCCACCGCTGACAAGAGATGCCAGAAACTCGGTGGAACTGGAGTCTTCAGTTCATTTGCTGTAGCTGAAAATGTCGACCGTTTTGAGGAGCTGCTGTTGAATTCAGTCCGCTGTCATGAGTCACAGCTGGAACAGCTACAGGATCCAAGCTTGTAATAGTCGATGCAAATAAAGATATCAGCTCATTTCGTGATTTGAAGGCAGTAAATCTTACTGGAAGTCTACTTACGGCAGCGCAACCGAATATCACGTCAATTGGATCATTGCCATCTCTGAATGTACCTGGAGGATTGACAGCATCTAAAGTTAACTGGACCGTATAGCACAGTAGCTCAACCTAACATTACATCGCTTGAAACTCTCACAACTGGAGTGCAAACAGCGATAAACAACAGCACAACTTCATTTGCAAGTTATGGGCGTTGGACAAACAGTCTTACTACGCCAAAGAACTGTGTGCTCGAAATGTCAAACATCGAGCCTAGGTTCGATGCAAATTCGCAGCACCCAGCTAGAATATTATCAGGAAAATCCATTGCAATGTGGATGAATGTGAGTCAGAACGTGTAAATTGAAATCGTAGCACCATCTGGAACATATAAGTTAGAAGCAGATGGATCTATAAACGATACAGCAATCAACATCAATGGAGATGCAGTTGCTTCTTCAGCTGATATAATATCTATCACCAGTATCACTGTGGGGACAGCAAACAAAGACTGTGGGGATAGCAAACAAAGCTTTGGTTGTTGACAGTAGTCAAAATATCGCTGGAAAATATTCTCTCAGCGCAACATCATTGACTGAAACTTTTCTTACTCCAGCTCAACCAAACATAACGAGGCTAGTTTGGATTTCTCGAGTTCAGGCATCACTCACGCACACAGTGCTGGTAGCAATGTTGCTACATTACTTACTCAGTAGCTGTAAGCACGCTCACCATCGGTATTGCAAATTCTGGTGGCGCATGCGATATTCGATCAACTACTGCAAGCGATCTATATCTGGGTGCCAATAATACGAGAAGGCTCTCAATTTAAAGCGGAGGTAATATCGGTATCAATGCAACTTGTCCGGTTATCAACTTGATGTGAGTGGGTCTTTTAACTTCATCCAGCTTTGATATGAACGGGACACTTATCACAGCCTCGGCAACAGGTTTGATTAGAGTAACGGGATATGGAACGTATCTGAGTGGTATCACTCCGGTTTCTGTCGTACCGAGCAAAGCAATGGTTACCAATGCAAACTCAGCAATTCAGTTCGGATTGGGCAGCGCTACCACAAACCAGATCAAATACTTTGCGAGCACGAGCTTGAGAGATAGTATTCGAGTCCATCTTGTGGATGATTCAAGTCCACTGACCAGTGGTACGCGAATTGATAGATCCGCTAGCACCAATAGAATATATTCCATTCTAAATCACAAGTAGGTGGTGTTTCAGCTACAAGCGCTGAATTATTCATTATTAACCGGAAATGATAATCTATTTGTTGGTTGTACGTCTCAAATGCATAGGTTATGTTTTAATGTTGGAAATAGTCATCCTTATAGAAATGGATACTTTTGCAACTTCTGCTGATGCCTTTTGTATAAATTCTGCTGCTTCATTCCCAACACTAGCGAGTGGATGTCTCTACCTTGTTTCTGACACTGTTAATAAGATGATATTTAATTATATTACGCCATACACTATTTTATTTTGAACAGCGCCAATGACACTGAATTCTGACTATATCTTCATAAAGGTATCTAACGTATTAAACGATGGATCGGCAAATACGATATGCCTTTTTCCATAAATCTTCCTTCGTGTCGCCTATTGGCTTTGGATAGCAGCTGAATAATGCCACAAATGCGACTTCAACCAACTCTGCATATTTTGAAACCACAACATCAAATGATCGCGTAATGATGACTTAAATTTTCAAGATGACAAACTATGAGTTCTACCGGGAGAATAGGCATACTAACAGGTTCATCTTCTGCAACACTGCATGTTTATAGGACACTATCGAACACATTTAATGTTGTTGGAAGCTTATACTCTCAAACAACATCGACTGCATTAACGTTCAGTCAGCTGGGCCCAGTAACAGTTTCCGTTAGTGCCATATTCTCGTGACCAATCCAGTGTTCCAGTATTTATTGTACTTCGGATAGACGAGTGTACCAAAATATTCAGCAACTTGATGAATTCTACCGTAAAAACGACTTCAGGGCAGATATATTCACGTAGAACTACATTGGATCAAAAGAAACCATTCCAAAGATTGTATTCATTGCTCAAGTCTTGAATCGCCCTGGCTACAAAAATCTGTTGACTCTGACTCCAAATGACAACATGAAGAGCGAAAATGATGATCCATCGAAGGAGTTCAAATCAACACCGACTGCAAAATGATCACCGCCATCAGCTTCTTGATGATCAAGAAATTGAAAAAGCGTATTAAAAGCCAAAAAGAAAAGAGGGCCAACCAAAGCCAATACCCGAAGGTGCAGCCATAATCAACTCAACTGTGAATTTCTCTGATTCAGTAATAATAATAGATGGAAGTTCTGCTGCCGGTCCAAGATGAACAAAATTCCAGCGTGCGTGGGATAGATTTAAAGCAAAAAAGATTGAGGTGCTTCGAGAAGTGAAAGGCCGCTTGACAAATATTTTTTTTTCAACCAGCAAAGAAAAAAAACCAAGTGCCTACGTATTCAAAGACGGCTCGCAACTTCGGGGGGATAGCTTCTCGATGCAAAGTGATATTGTTTAAGTAGAAACTTATTTGTCTAATACAACCTTCATCCACTCTTTCAATTTTTAATCGTTCGTGTTGGCCTTCGTATGTTTTCCTGCCATTTTTGGTGCATGCATATCATAGAATTTATTACCATGTCTCTCATCTACGACTGATTCAAAATTAAACTGTGTTCCGAAAGATGATTTCAAGTCGCAACTATGCTATCGCCATGAAATTATCAAAATATGTTGGGATTACACCACTGAATGCTTGTTTGACAGGCGGATGACGTCAGATGGTTACGTTCACGGTTATGGTTACGGC